ACCGGAATGTGCCAAGCAAATCATCATTCGATGATAACAGGAGACTTGTCGACGAAAAAGCTTAGTTTCTCTTCTTGCACCAAACGCGAGAGGAACAATCCTTGCTACAAAGATCGTCGCCGATCCTTCTTCGGCTCTTTGACCGGAATGTACTAAGCAAATCGTCATTCAACATCAACAAAGGGMAGCTCCTGGATCCCTTTTTATCATCGGGGGCGTTTCTGTGGTCRGCAGCACACGTGGGATARAGGTTCGAACTTCGAGGCAACGCATGTGATATAGGTCTATATGGCGAGTGCGTGTCCACACACTGTCATATAGGGCTATATCTAAATGAAGCGTTGTCCCCTCAGCCGAGGTGGGCACAGGGCTACAACCGCACTCACTTCCCAATTCCTGAGCGAGTGTTGGCCTTGAGGGCAATCGTTACCCCCCCCGGTGGACTCGATACCTCTTCGCCACCGCCCTTTCGTTTGCGCCCTCTCCTACCGCCAGCAGTCGTTCTGTCTGAATCCTGGCTCAAGGCGAGGCTCAGGATAGTCTGTTGAACATCTGCAGAAGCGGGAGCAGTCGTGACCACAAGTTGCGTCTCAGCCTCAGGTCCAGCATCGGGAACAGCCTTAGGAACAGGCACGGGAGAAGGCTCGCTGGAAACACGTGGCCGCTCACCGGCCTGCCCAACACCATGTTCAGCAGGCTGAACAGATGGTCTCGAAGCAGGCTCAGCAGATGGCCCGAAAGCAGTTTTCTGCACACAAGACGGCCCGACAACTACCGGTGCGCCCTGCCCGACGATCCGCGCCACTCCAGCAGCAGTGCCCGTGTCCCTGTCGACCACAAGCTCAATACCGGCAGATTCCGCGTCCGCAGACAGGTTCGAGGCCGGGCTGCCTTGCGATGCCTTTTGTTTCCTATTCGGCGTTTCACATGCGAGTGTGTCATCGATGTCTGTCAGAAGCCTCATTGCGATGCCCTTCGCGCACTTTGTGTTTATCTCCACCACGAGGCAGTTCCGATTCGCCTTGACACACGCAATGGCGCCTGTGCCAGAGCCGGAGAAACCGTCCAGAATGCAGGCCCCCGCAGGAGAAAATTTTTTCACAAGCCAGGAGTACAAACTGTACAGCTTTTGGTACGGGCAGAGGACACTGCCGCTAGGGTGCTGGTACTTCTGCGTCACAACATTAAAGAGCTGGAAGTAGTGACGTGGATCCGTAGGATCAAAGTTGCAGTGCGCCATCACGCGCTGCCCAGTCTGGCTATAGTAGCCCAACACACAGAATTCCGTCGCACTCACAAGTCGAGGCCCACCGGGATTCATCACATTGGGCTTGCACCACGTCAAAAGCTCCTACCCTGCATTGCAAAATTCTCTGAATGCGGAGCGAATGGAAGGAAGCATGTCCACTGAGCAGAATCCCACAACTGTCCACAAGGGGGCACTAGACACGTCCTTAAGATTCTGAAGAACCTCCAGAACATCCGACTCCGGAAACAGCTCATGATCAGACGCATGTCCCTCATGCGCGAAGCCATAAGGGAAGTCGAAAATCGCCAGAGATATTGGCAGCTTCTCCATCTGCAGCTTTGACAGTAGGCGTATGTCGCTGTTGATAATCTTCACTTTCGCCGCGTCGTTCTCATGTTTCACCTCCGTCCAGTCGACGAAGGGCTCCGTGAGAGGTGTCGAACGGAACGCGTGAAGAGCCTCCTTTGCTTGCAGTCTCCTCTCCTTACTCTTCCAGTCCAAAGCCCTTTTAATATAGCCATTCAGTGCGGGGGTACTCTTCTGACCCCTCCTGACGCCACTGACGAACTTCTCCAACATGTCTTTCTTCGTGTGGAGAGGATACTGTTTCTCGGCCTCCTTGAAGTCAGCACAACCCACCCCCACTGCGAAGGCCTTGCAGACGTACGCGACTTGCTTGACAAGCTGGAACTTCTTCTCCATCTCAAGTTGGATAGGGACGGCGTGCTCTGGACCCATACTACCCATGGCTATTCAATGTTGCGCGGGCATGTCGTCGGCGACCATGGGGACTTTGCTACCCCGCATTTGCACTCGAGGGTGCAAAAGCGCCATCTCTTGCTCCTTCGCAGCTGCCCTTTCAAGCCTCTTCCCATGCTGGCTTTTCTTTCCGTCCTCCGACTCGCTCGATTCCAGATCCTGATCCGATTTCAGGATGTTTTTCGTTGCCGGCTTCAGTTTCTGGCCTTTGACCTCACCCTTCTGCCACATATTCATTATCTTGCACATGAGGTCCCAAATTTCTTTGGGCTTGAAAGCACACTGCAGCAACGCATCTTGGGCTCCCAATTTCTTCGCCGAGTTCGGAATCATAGCTTCTTTCAGGCAAAAGAGTTTAACTTCTGTCGACTTGAC